CAGAGTCTAAATTCAGACCAGCTTTGCTTGACTCCAGAACCAGAAATTTTAATGCATATACTTGGATACAAACTAGTTTTCTTCAGAATTAATTATAGTTATCTAGCTAGTACTTGTGTACAAGCTTACAAATGTGCGAAAAAATGCATGTGTGCAGTTAATAAATAAAGGATTTCGTAGGCGCTACAGTATTTATTTTATTTATTAGCAGGACAAGTGGTTATTTTATGTGTACTTATAGTTACTACAAAGCATTAGCACTGTTTCTTCTATTTTTTAATTTTTTATTATTATGTTTTTAATCTTTTATTTATTTGACACAAGGTCTCGCTGGGCAGTTGAGACTTATAGTATTCTTCCTGTCTCAGCCTCCCCAGTTCTGGCATTACTGGCCTGCACCACCACGGCTAGTTTCAGTGGCTGGCATGGCATGCCTGGGGTTCCAGGCCTGCAAAACATGCAGTAACAGGGATCAAACCTGAGTCCTTGTGCTTTCCAGGCACTTAGACTGCCGAGCTATCTCCCCAGCCCCAGCACTGTTTCTTTTAAAATTTTGTGAAAATCTAAATAGAATTATAGCTATAATAGTGGACAATGCAAGTACTGTATTTTCAAATTGTAAAACCTGATGGTATGCAGTATAATAAATATCATTTTCATGCCAATGAAGTAGTTGATATGAGTTTTTCCCTCTTTTTTTGTATTTATTTCTCTTCCTCCTCCTCCTCCTCCTCCTCCTCCTCCTCCTCTTCCTCCTCCCCCCTCCTTCTCTTCCTCCTCCTCCTCCTCCTCCTCCTCCTCCTCTTCCTTCTTCTCCTTTTTCTTCTTCTTCCACTTCTTCTGTTGTATCTTGGAGAAGTTTTGGCTGTGAATACATAGATCACAAACCTTTTTACATTGCTTATGAAATTATAGACCAAAAGTATATTTTCAGAATGTAGTTTTAGAATTTCATTAAGCAATAAACTCATTCATCAGAAAGAATTATACATTTGTTTTAGAATGCTAGGCAGCTCGTATCCTTTGGTTAAAAATATATTTTTTCCCTAGAATAAAATCTTTTTCTCAGTCCAATTTTCTTTCTCTTCTCTGGTATTCTGGAGGACTTCAATTCTAATGAGTTTTTATTTTTCTATACTCAACATAAAATTATTCCTCTTTTTTTCTGTCTGCCACCAAAGCAGTGGAATTTTCAGGGTACTTTTAGGAGTGGAGGTGTAACTCAATGGTGCCTAACGTGTACAAGGTCCTGGGTTCAATCCCAAGACTGCCTTCTCTCAAGAAAGGAATGTATTTGGTCAGAAGACAGCAGAGTCTACCTGGTCTAAATTTCACAGATTGCCAAGAATATGCTACTGTGACTATTGAATATACAAAAGTAGCTAAGTGGTTGTAACAAAGTTTGAAGCCAGACTTGGGTTCAAATTCTGGTTCTCCTACTTTATAAGGTGATCTGGTCAACTTCCTTGATGCTTAAGTTTTCTTCCGTGTAAAGTGGAAGGTGATAATGATATCTACCTCGTACGATGAGTATGGTAATTAAGTGGCTTAATGCAGGTCAAGTCCTTAGAATACTGTCAGGCCTTACACAAAGTGTTGCATAAACTTTTTTTATTATTATGCTACAATTTGACTTTCATTTAGAATTTTAATAAATTTGAGAGTTAATTTGCACCCAAAGAATTTCTTTTACCACTTTAACACACAGCCTATGCATATCTAATTCTTGATAGAGCTTGGAAGCATTTTCTGTAGGCTTTTCTCTTTTGTTTACTCTTGTATGTTAATTTGCTGGCTCAGTCATTTCTGTTTGTTCAACACCCACTGTAGTGCTTGCGATTCAGTGAGGACAATAGGAAAAATTCTCTTCACCTCAGGAATTCCTATTCTTTTTTTTTTTAAACCAGGAATTAAACTCAGGACCTCACAGTTGCCAGGCAGGTGCTGGACTTTGAGCTACAGCCCCAGGCCCACCCAAGTCCTTAGTTACCCAGCCTTGAACACTGCTAATGTAAATGTCATTTTGAAGTGAATGTCTATTAAATATCTATTTTTCTCCACACTTAAAGTAAATTAAATAACTTATTGATTTAAAAAATCACTATGCTTTAAAAAATGAACAAGGTGGGAAAGTTTGGTTTGGAAATGACTGTGGAGAGAACTTTATTCTTCAGCTCCCCCACAAGTGATAGTATTAATCTATCTTTTTGCCTAAAATGTCCTCATGACTCATCCTTGAAGCTGGGTGATTAGCTGCAGTTTACCAGCAGTTCTCAGAATACTCACACTTAAGACTGTGGGAAAGAATGCAGCTGAACAGTAATACATTAACAGTATGTGTTGAAAAATCAGTTTCCTGTTGACTGTACATAAGACACAAATTTCTAATAGTTCCTAATGGCACTACTTCCTGTGTGGATTATGTAGGAAATGCTTTAGTCTGAATGGTTGTTCCCAGGAGGGGAAAGCCTTCAAAAGAATTTTATTTTATTGTGTGTATGTGAGGGGGAGGGAGACAAAGAGGAAGGGGGGAGGGAGAGAGGGAGGGAGGGAAAAGGTGAGGGGAGAAAGAGAGGAGGCAAGAGGGAGGGGCTAATTATCATTGGGTAGTGGACTGAGTCATACAGACATGCCTAGTATAATTTAAAAGAACACAATTTGAAGATAGCAACAGTGCGTGATTAGATGCAATGTCTTGTATGCTATTGGTTGTCACCACATTTCAAGAAAATAAGCTATTGGTGATAATGGACAGCTGGTCTAAAGGTTAAACAAGAAATAACTATCACTCTTTAAATTTTTTTTCAACTTTTATTTAGTACAGGGTCTTGCTATGCAGCTCTAACTCATAGTGATCCTGCTGTCTCAGCCTCTCCAACACTGGGCTTACAGGCCTGCACCACCATGCCTGGTTTTGGTGGCTGCTGCAGCATGTCCAAGCTTCCAGAGCCAGCAAGGCATGTGGTACTGTGGGTTGAACCCGGGTCCTTGAGCTTGCCAAACATGTGCTTAGACCACCAAGCTATCTCCCCGCCCCTATCACTCTTTCAGTGGAATTAGCAAGGCCTATAAAGGGATGGTGGCTTGTTCCTTGCAGGATCATGACATTTGGCTCTATTCCTCTCTTCATGTTGGGTCGGAAACCTCTGTTAAGTGAGTCTGAGTGGGAGAAGTGATATTCTCACAGTTCTCTTTTGTGGTTTCCAGTCTGGCTGCTGCATATGGCATGTGTGGGGAGTGTGGATATTTGTCAAAGAATAATGCCCCACTTGCATCTTTGTAGCTTTGAAGAAGTTTTCCTGTTGATTCTGAATTACCCTACCGCTCAGTCATATACTTCTTAGCCTCTCAGCACCCACTTTCAGGAACTGGAAATGCAGTAGGTTGTTTTAAAAGCATCCATTAGTGTACTAGAAGAGACAGCTTGTTTCACATCAGTGCTTCTGCTTCGTAATAGAATTTCTTTTTAAAAATTTAAATTCAAGATTGGCTTAGATCCAGAAAGCCTGAGCCTGAACAAGGGCAGCTTTACCTGTGTGTGGTGAGCAGCTAATTAGGAGAAGAAGCGTGCTGTGAGTGTACTTGCTGGGAAGAAGGACAGCCGCACTCTTCTCTACTGGGTTGCTTATAGGTCAGATAAGCAAGATAAAAGTCATTCCTTAAAAAAAAGGCACATACACCCACACACCCCTGCACATCTACATAAAATAGCCAACTTTCCCAGAGAGGCGTTAGGGTTTCTCAGCATATAAATTATGATTTGGAAGTATGTAATTTTTAAAATATTAAATCTGTCGTCCTTTAACAAGTCTCTGTGATCCATCTCCCATTTGTGGGTCAAAAACAGGATGTATTTCCCTGGATTCAACACCTAGCATTGCAAAAACAAAGTTTATAAATTGATCTAAGGAATCGACTAATAATGTTGTTGATGAGATTTTTGTCAGGGCAATACTCCAATTTTCTAGTCAACAGTCTGTGTCTGTCTGTCCGTCTGTCTGTCTGTCTGTCTCTTTTTTCCTTCCTCCCTTATCCCTTCCCCCTGTACTTGTGGATGAAAAAGTCTTCTCACAGCCCCCTTACTGTTCATATTCATACTCTTCTATACTATAGAATGAAGCAAATAAATCATGACATTAAAATTCAGGGTGGAAATGACCCTTGGCTGGACTTGGAGGCTGGGGAGTTAAGGATGAGGCGAGTCTACAGCCACCGTGATGTCTGAAGTTCTGATTTGCCTAGAGTGTTTGCCATGTGTTACCTCAAGTGAATGACTTGAGCAAGAATGCTGAGGTTACCTTCTGAACTGTACTCCTCTCAAAATCACAACATTGTAGACATTTCTCTACGGTAGCCTTGCTTTAACAACATGCAGGTATACAGCTGGTTAAGCCTCCTGTGACGGGGTAAGCGATCTTGTTGTAAATGAGGAATGTCAAAAGCTGCTTGGAAATGATCTCTTATGCAAAATTTCCCAACAAACGTAATACACTTTTAAAAGCATTAAAAAAAATAATAAAACAACATCAGAATGCTTATCTGAGAGAGCCTGATTGAGAAGAATGTTGTACTGGTAAATTGCTCTGCCCAAGACAACGGCTGTTCTGTTTCTTTTCAGATTTTAAAACCCAAGTCCCAAATCACAGTCTGCAGTAAGAGCTTCCAACAATAATTACCTCTGTGCAGGGAGAAGAGGTCCTTGAAAGGGTCTGCTGGCTGTCCCGAATCTTCCCAGGGCGAGTGGGGCTGTAGCCACTGATAACCCAGCTGCCTGGGAACTGCAAGGAGCCGGCTCCAAACTTCTCAGCTGTTGACAGGCGTGACTTGCTGAGAACACTGGATAAATATAGCACACGCGAGCTCAGCTCCTCGGCAAAGTCATCGCTCTGACAGCGCTGTGAAGGGAACAGAGCAGAGAAACCCAATCTCAGAACCCAACAACACCTAGCAACAGTTGAAAAAACTTTAAACAAAAGTCTGGGTGGGAGATACACAACAACTTCCAATCTGTGCTGATCGGGGTTTTGGGGAGAAGCAGCTTTCTTCTCACACTCAGCTTCCTGCATGACTTCAGCTATTGGCTAGTCCTAGCACAGAGAGTGGGAAAAGCTTTTTCCTCTGTGTTCTTTCGGGCTGGATCGTTTTCCAGGACTCGAGTCCGTCTTGGGCTGTGGGACAAACCACTGGGTTCTTCAGAGGATAAGCCACCTTCCCAAAGGACGTGCTGTTGGTTGAACAAGTTGCTGTCAGGTAAGACCACAACAAATAGCAGCTGCTTGCTTGCTTTCTCTTTCTTTCTTTCCTTCTTTCTTTCTTAAGAAATTTCAGAGTTCTCTCTACTTCTGTCTTGTCTGTGTCCTTTGATTCTTCCTGCCCTACCATGTGATAACACAGGAGTTAATGTAGCCATTGTGAATTACTTTAAAAGTCAGAAACTTCAGCTCTTACCATTGTACCAATTCCTTTTTCAACACAATTTGATATCATGATAGTCAAAATACTTCTGCCGATACTTCCAATTACCTGCCAATACTTCCCAGTACCTTCTGGGCAGGTAACAGACATGACATGGGACAATTTCACAGCTCCTTCCACGTGAGGATAGCTGGGCCATGGAAAAGACGTTTTCCTTGAAGCAAAATAACTTTCATTTCTTGAAACTAGCTAAGCAGCCTATGTGTAAAGGAGAGGAAGGTCCCCAGTGGTGTTATGCTGCTGTGCGTCTGACGGCCCCTTGTGCCCATGCGTCTGATTGCACCGTACACGCTGTGCAGACTCAGGGCTCAACTCCACATTTCTGACCAGTACTGAATATGCTTCTGTGGTTGTTGAATATAAGAATTCAGGAGAAGGTTATGTATAGCTCAAAGGAAGTTGAGTAATGACTGTTATATAGCTGTAACAGATTCTGTTTTAGAAAACTTAAACTGAATTTATTAAGATAAAATCCTTTCTTAAATTGCGTGGATGTGCACCCAAGTGTGTTTACTGTAGTGCGAAGCAAGCACGAGCTCTGTCTGGGGTTCGCTGTCTCCTTTGCACAAGTTGGCATGCAGTTTTGTCAGCACTGCACAGAGTGAACAATTTCATGTTGAATCTGTGGGGTCATGGCTGTGCGTTGGTGGGTGACGTGGTTAGCAAGGATACATGGTGTCTGCTATTGTATGTCTTCTTTGAAAGGAACATTCTTTAAATGAACATGATAGTTGGAGTGAATGTCCTAACCTAAGGGTAATGTTGAAGAAATATAGAAACATATTTAAAACTTATTTGAAGCGATTTTGTCAACTTAAGAAAAAGAACTTATCCACAACCAGTTTTGAACAAATTGTTGGCAAATAACAATGTAAATGCTCCTAGTTTAAGGAAAGCCAATTAGTTTTTTTTTTTTAAACTGTTTTTTTCAGAAAAATGAAACACTACACATGTTTTGGTATGTCTTATGTTTCATAATCCAGACCACTTGAGTGGGTTTCAAAGTAGGTAGAGCTAATAATATATAACGAATATGTACAAAGAATAGTACAAATACACTCACGTGATCTCAGGATTAGAGAACAAACTCCTGATGTTTTATTAGGGATGACATAGCCTTATCTTAAAAAGACGTTTGGAAAGGCAGAACTGAATACTTCACATTTTTCTTGTCTTTATCCTAGGAAGGGGTCACATTGTTGGCTTACAAATGCATGGGGAAGGCCAAAATCTACTGCTAGTTCTAGGCCTGTACTTCCCCCCCCCCCCCATAGAACAGTTTTTAGATAACTAAGCACTGTATTTGGCCCTGAGTGAAACTCCCGTTCGCTGATGAAGTGGATCTTTGAGTATTTTAATTGTCTTCATACGCGTCCTCTTGAAAATCAAGAAGACTCCGGGTAAACCACGTGGTTTCCCAGCAGCCGGTGGAGCGCCTGGACCGCACAGGTCTACGCTCCGGTTTCCTGCACCTCGCGCGGCACCTTCTCTGTGAGGGTTATCCCGCAGCCTGTCTCCCACCGGGTGGAGCCCCGATCTGGGTCGTGACGGCTCCCTCCTGCCCCGAGGCCGCCGGGCCGCTGGACTCCAGAGCCGCGGTCTGCCCGCTCTTCAGCGACTGACTGGGCCTCCTGCTCGCTGCCAGATGCCTGGGCTGGCTGTTCTGAGCGTCGCACGTCCGCTGGCACCCGCTTGACCTCTCTAGCCTCACTCCACAAGGTCCTTCGGCGTCAGGTGCTTTCGATGTGGACCGTTCTCCAGACAAGAACCCAGTGAATATTTAAACACCGCACCTTATCCCCCTGCCTAGACCATACCTTTTGGAAGTGGGTGATTCCTTCCTAGGTCAGCAATTTGAAAAATAAAATAAACCAAAAAGCAATTTGATGTTTCTTAGGAAGTAGGGTGCCTTGGAGTAGGCTTTACCTCATGAAACCAGGGCGTTTTAGTAAATCTTCTTGCTGCAGAATATTACCCTAGTCATCACTTGTCTCTGGAGCTCCCCAGCCCCTGGCATACTGTGGGCATCATTTAGCTCTCATGGCTCCCATTCTCTCTGTCGCTGTCTCTCTGTCTCTGGCTCTCTCTCTCTCTCTCTCTCTCTCTCTCTCTCTCTCTCTTTCTTGAGGGAAAGAAAGCTCCTATCCTAGAGGGGGACAGAAGGAGGACCAGAGCGGGTTGCCCCTCCCATTTTCTCTTGGTGAATATATAGGAAAGTATGGATCAGCACAAAATAAAGAATGGTTAATATCTTTTATTCCAAAAATTTCTTTGAGGGAGTTGTTTTGTTTTGTTGGAGCGGGGGATTGAACTCAGACCCTTGCACTTGCCAGGGAAGCGCTTATTCTAGTGAGCCATCTCCTTGGCCCCTGAGGGAGTTTCCTGAATTTTACCATGTGAAAAAAAGATATCATTTTAACTATGATAACATACTTGGCTGTGGAGATGATGTTATAGCTCTCAAAAATGAAATAGAAAGGCTATCTGTTGTGTATGCACCTAGACCTCAACATTTCTAAACATTCACAAGGCTTTATCATCTTCTGTTGCTAGATTTTATTTATAATTACTTTTGGAAGAATCCATTAAAATCATGATTCTTCCTCTTTGGGGGTGATGGATTAGACTCTGGACTTTTAAAACTATGTTATGGCCCTTTTTATGTTGTTTTTTTCTAGACATTTGAAACAAGATGTGTGTCAGTACTGTCTTTAATGGTTCACAAAACCTGGGCCCTCACTGTGTGAGATTGAGCATAAGTTGTGCTTTTGAAGTAATTTGTTCTGTATCCATCAAAAGAAAAACATTCTTTTTATATTCTTAAGTGGTCACAGTGGTTAAACTTAGTCTTCCAGTTGGGTTTTGGCAATAATTGCTATGGATTTTTTCTAATAGAACTAGTGAAATAATTTCATTAAGCAATGATTTTCCTGTAGCTATAATTTGTACTTATTCTTTAGAAGTGAAATTTGAGATTTACACATCTTAAACAATGCTGATAGTGCTCTCTTTTTTTGGCAGAGGAGCATTTCTTCATAAAACAGTTGCAAAGATTTAGAATATTTCTGAGTTTATTTAACATACATTCTCTCACTTATTTAATTTTCCTTTGTCATTAAAGTTGGCTCTAGAAAGGCAGCAGTATGGGAAGGGGTTTAGCAAGCCTAGGTTGAAGTCTATTTCTAAGAAAAAATTAAGGGAAAAAGCTTGGTAACAACTTAGAAAAGTTACACTAAAAAGTCTGCAATACAAACTTGTTGATACATTATGCTAATACATACAACAATAAAATGAAAGATAAGCACATACCAAATACAATATACTTTGTTTCCTTACATCTGGGTTCAAGATAGGACAAGGATAAGTGCGTTGAAAGGAAGCCAGGAGAGCTAGTAGCGTAGGCAAAGCCATGAGGCCCACCTTTGGATTGTGCATGGGTCGCGACTCCTCAGGGAAATGACTCCTTCCTTGTGTTTAGTCTCTGCATCTACAAAATGAAGATCATTATGCTGTTTCTTTCTATAGTTGGTCCAGGGCTCATATAATGGGCTTGAGGAATAAACATTAAGATTTTCCGATACATTTATTATACTTTATTACCACACTTTAAATGTAGTTATCTATTTCAGACTTTTTAATTTTATTTATTTATTTATTTATTCAGAACCAGGGATTGAACTCAGGTCCTTGTGCTTGCCAGGCAGGCGCTTATTCTACTGAGCCATCTCCCCTATTTTAGATTTTGCTACACATAAAATTCTTGGTACTGATAGTTTGTGAGATCACAGGAAAGGCAGAAGAATGTGTTGTTTAAATCTGGAATCTTGTTTGGGACGTAATTTGCTGCTGGGTACTCTAACAGACAAGGCCGAACAGCAGCCAGTAACTTAGGATGGAATTTATGTTTCAAACCATCCCTTATCATGCAGCCGCCTGCTGCCTTATAGAAACATTGCTAAAATGGTTAAGAAATCACTCATGGTATAGGTTGTTCTGTGGTTTCTATATTTGTCCTCAAAGAGAAAGTATGTTTCTACATAGAGGTTAGGTGTGTCTTTACTGCCAACTATACTGGGTAGTGTATAGCCATGGAGTCAGTCCTCCAGGGAGGGATGTTGCTATATCTCTCATGCTTATTCTTTCCATTTAGATGGTTTGTTTTGTTTTACTAACCTAGTAACAGATAAAAATGAAAAAAAAAAAAACAACAAAAGGCCATATCATGCTAATTTCAACCTTACTAAATAGAAAGGAACTCTTACTAGTCATTGCCCTTCACCCTATTTAGGTTTAAACGCAAGAAGAAAAATATATCCCAAGATAAACAAAAAAAGTGTTATACTCTAAAGATGTATGTGTAAATGCGGGGTTGATCGCTATCTGGTGTACTTAATTTAACACAAATACATGAAACACCCTTACATGGGGGTATTTAGGAGATATCAAAAGAATTAAGATGTGTTACATACGTGTCCACCTTTCATTGAGGAATGTAAACATAATGTGCTGAAAACATATCACAAAAAATAAGTGTGGGAGTTTCTTAGTAGCTTTAGTGATAATAAATTTTACGGTAGATAGCTATGGTTTAGGCCTGTTAATTTTGCTTTTCCCAGCTGAAAGAAAGTCTACACGATAAGACAAATCAAGTTTTAGAATATTCATTCTTTAGTGAAATCCTTCTGGAGAGAAAAAGCAAAAAGGAGACAAGAAAAAAGTGAAAGAGAGAAAGGAAGCAGGAAAAGTATTCTTGGCTTTGCAGAATGCACTATAGG